GGACATCAGCAATGATATCTCTAGTTCCCCGGCCTCTTCTGAATCCAGCTTGAACCTCTGGAAGTTCTCTGCCAATGTATGATTGTAGCCCTTTCTGTATAACCTTTAGCAAAACTTTACTCGCTTGAGATATCAAAGAGATTGTCCGATGATTTCTGCATTCCGTTGGGTCACCTCTCTTTGTAATGGGCACAAATATGGATCTCATAATAAAGATTAGCATTGAAAAATAGAGTGAGAGAGAGACTGCAAAGGAGTAAAAAGAAGGAAATAAAAACTCTACCCAATTAATACTACAGCTTGAACCGTCTTAATTTTATTCTAAGTAACTTTATCTTTAGGATTGGGAAAATCTTACTAGTACTTATGTATTGGATACATTCAGGATTTCAGGAAATCAGATTCAGGTTTCCAAGCTAAAATTAGCAAGGTAGGAGTGTCAGGGCTAGAAGGAGCAGCTCATCGACTGAAGCAGAGTAGGGTCAGAAAAGTAGACCAGAAAATGCTTGTAGGTTTTAAGTATTTGGTTGTATCTTGTGGTTTTCATCTAACCCTACTTTTGTCATTAATATCTAGGTATTAAGCAGTGCATTCTTTCTTCTAGATTATAACATAATAGACATATGATACTGTCTGCTATAAACTCAGTCTCCTTTGTATGGAAACTTCCATAGCCACAGTCCACATGAATAAAGAGTCATAGGCAGCTCCATGACCCCTGCTCTAGAGCCACAGCTGCTGACAGGGGTGGGAGAGGTGGGGAAGGTGCAAGGAGAATAGTGTCTCATGGGTAGCTCTTCAAAATGCTGGCTAATAACAGGAACAAGCCTGGCCACAGTGGGGTATCATTCACCAAGGGCAAGATACACCAATTAGATTCTTACTCTTGAAAAATAAAGGGAGAATTAGGCTAGGAGTACAGGCATAGCCAGGAGATATTTCCAGTTTGCTTCTAGGCTACAGCAATAAAGTGAATATTACATTAAAGAGGCTACAGAAATTTTCTGACTTCTCAGTACATATGAAAGTTATGTTTACACTATACTGCAGGCTACTAAGTATGTAATAATGTTGTTAAGCACAGTCAAGTCAGTTCCAACTCATAATAACCCACTCCCCAAGGAGTGTCTAGTGGGTTTAAACTACTGTTAGCAGTCTAGTGCTTACCCAGCAGTACCACACTATGATGAAAAAGATTGAAATACTGTGAGATTTACCCAAATGTGACACAGAGACAAGAAGTGAACACATGCTGTTAGAAAAATGGTGTCTATAGACTATCCTGTCCCAGGATTGCCACAAACCTTCAATATGTAAAAAATGTATTAGCTGTGAAGCGCAATAAAATGAGGCTTGCCTGTACTTACAGAAACCTGCCTCTAGATAGGAGCCCTGAGCAAACAGAAGCTATGAGGAAGTGGAAACTGTGAGTAAGCAGAAACTGGGAGAGAAACTTATACACAAAGATAAGCTGAGCTCCAGGCACTCGGCTGCTAAGTCCCTAAAGCTGCCTTATGCCCAGGTTGGTCAGTCAGTGCGGCCTCCACTGCTGCCACACTTATTCTTACAGCAATGAGTCCTTACTTAATCAATTATTCCTTCCTACATCTAGATAGTAACTGTCATTGGAGAAAAAACAAAGGGAATTCTATGTATAATCCCTAAGAAATCTTTTGAGTTTCACTAATCCAGAGTAGCACTCTCTGAATGAAATGGCTAAAACCAGAAGTCCTCACACCCGACCAGTCATTAACAACCATTGGAGAATTAAAAACAAAATCAGATTCTGGTAGGTCATTGAATCAGAATATCTTAGAGGAAATCTTTTTTGGTTTTCAGTCTGTATGTTCAGAAGGTAAAAATTATGCTTTTTTTTTTCTTCTGAGAAATGAAAGTACTGTTGGGAAACCATGCTGAAGACGAGGGAAATAGTTAACAATATTGCTCATTTTTATTCTGTTGCATTCCATTCTCATTTTAATGAATTTTTAAAGTATTCATCATTTTCAATATTCCATAATTTATTTTCTAGCTTCTTTTTCTATGTTCAATTTAGATGCATAATAATTTGGTCTACTTTAATATAACTGGTATAAAATTTTGAAGAAGCTCTGAAGAGCAAAATATGCTATCATACGAATAAGAGTATACAGGTGATATTTGCATCCCCCTTTTATTCTTACGCAAATTTAAAAAGCAATA